CCCAGAGTGGAGAAAATTGTGTCTGCTGCTGGTGTATATGTATTCTCTCTGCTCCAGATGCACAGAGATGGTGGAGTGCCAAGAAAGGAGTAGAACAGGAAGAAGGCAGAATTGAGACCTTTCAAAGTTTTGGCCCAAGCAAGGGGGCATCATTTGAGCTCCCTGCCTCAGGTACCAAAATGCTGTGGGCCAGCTCTGCCATCTGTCTCTCAGTTGAACTCCATGGCTATGTCTACACTCGCGGCTTCTTGTGCAAGAACATCTTGCGCAAGTGTTCTTGTGCAAGAACTCTTGCACAAGAAAACGTCCACACTGCCATGTGCGAGCTGTGCTTTTGCGCAAGAGCACCCATGGCAGTGTGGATGCTTTCTTGCGCAAGAAAGCTCTAGTGACCATTTTAGCCATAGGGCTTTCTTGCGCAAGAAATCCCTGCTGAGCTTCCACACTGCCCTCTTGCGCAAGAGCTCTTGCGCAAGAGGGCTAACACCTGTCAAAAAAGAGCATAGCTCTTGCGCAAGGAGCCCTCTCTTACCACACCATACTGTAAATTTACTTGCGCAAGAGCGGGCGGGCAGTGTGGACACTTCAGATTCTTGCGCAAGAACAGCTGTACTTGTGCAAGAAGCCGTGAGTGTAGACATAGCCCTTTAGACTACTTATTATGGCTTAGCTCTTCCCCTCTGGCTGGGAGCAAATTAGCTACTCACCCTCCAAGGTGGAAAGCATGAGTAATTGGATGCACTGCTAGCCTTGCAGATGATAGGGGTGAAGCTTCATGATAGTACCAAGAGCAGGACATTTCTTTTCCTGTCTTTGAAACTCCAGGGCTACGTCTAGACTGGCATGATTTTCCGCAAATGCTTTTAACGGAAAAGTTTTCTGTTAAAAGCATTTGTGGAAAAGAGCGTCTAGATTGGCATGGACGCTTTTCCGCAAAAGCACTTTTTGCGGAAAAGTGTCCGTGCCAATCTAGACGTGCTTTTGCGCAAAAAAGCCCCGATCGCCATTTTTGCAATAGGGGCTTTTTTGCGCAAAACAAATCTGAGCTGTCTATACTGGCCCTTTTGCGCAAAACCTTTTGCCCGAACGGGAGCAGCATAGTATTTCTGCAAGAAGCACTGATTTCAGACAGTAGGAAGTCAGTGTTCTTGCGGAAATTCAAGTGGCCATTGTAGACAGCTGGCAAGTTTTTCCGCAAAAGCAGCTGGTTTTGCGGAAAAACTTGCCAGTCTAGACACAGCCCAGCAGTTTCTGCTTCTGAGAAATAGTGTTATGTATTGACAGGCTTCCTGAATTGTTAATGTTAATAACTCTGTGAAGGATTTCACCATATCTAAGAGAGGTACACCATGTTGTTTTTCTGAATGATGCTCATATTTGGCTGATCCATGGAAGTGCCTCATAAAAGGCATTACATATGTCCTGTTTCCTGTGTCCAGGAACCGTTCTCTTAAGTCTAGATGGATCACTACAGTGGAGTGACTTAAGGATGGACATTGAACTGACTGACTCTGGAGTGACTTACTGCAACAAGACAATTGGTCAGAAAAAAGTTTTACTCAATGTCAGCTGCACCCAACATATTTGTCAGAGATAAACTAGATCCTTGATAGAATAATTCTTGATATGTTCTCCCCTACAAACTCTATGACTATATTTTCTGTTTGGATTATAAGCTTTTCTGGAGAGGGATTTTGTTTTTGTATGCATATTTGAGGACTCTGAGCAGTGCTAAATTTGAGAGAGTTTGTCTATCTGACTGTGAGGCGACATCTACACTGCAGGCTTTTTGCACAAGAAACTTTTAGTGGAAAAGATCTTCCACAAAATCTTCTTGCACAAAAGCGCATCCATACTGCAAAAGCGATGCACTTTTGGACAAGAGAGAGTCCACACTGCATGGACACTCTTGCGCAAGAAAGCTCTGATTGCCATTAACAGAATGGTCACCAGAGCACCTGTGCTTTTTCTGATAGGCTCTTTTTGCTCAAGAAACCCCTGTTGAGCATCCACACACCTTTTTGTGCAAGAACTCTTTTGTGCAAAAAGGAGTTATTCCTCATAGAAAGTATACCTATACCGAAAAAAGCCCTCTGTTCTGCCATTCTATTGTAAATTTTCTTGCACAAAAATGCACTTGCGGTGTAGACACTCCGCAGGTTTTGCGCAAAACCCTGTAGTGTAGACCTAGCCTGAGTACATCTGTCTGTCAGTTGTTCAAGAACTTCTCCTAAAGAGTAAGAGCTAGGACTACTGAATTTAGTATATAGTTTCTTTTTATCAAAATTTAAAACAAGGGTTTGGTTGTGCTAGGAAAATGGACTGTGCCTGGAATGGGAGTGTTTCTCATAAAACAGAAAGAGAGGGCTCTGCTATTTAATGACCACATGGGGACTGCAGAGGATGTGGGATGGAAAAGGAATAGTTATACTGTATAATGACCAGAGGGGGGCAGCAAGGAGTCAGAGATGTGGCCCAGACAGCTAAAACCCCTTTGAGGTAACAAGGGGGAAGGATACAGAGAGAGACAGCTATCTACTACATATCAGAGAGTTCCATGTCCCCAGGCATGGAAAATGTATTCCTCCCTCAATTGTGCCCGCTGCCATCAGAGAGATATAGTTTAGACACACCCATGGACAGGCAATTCTCACCTGGCTCCAAGCTGATGCAATGATGGAGGGCTGGGGTAGTCCTCTCTTCCTGGAGCAGCTTGCATACTAAACCCCTCATTCACAGCCACATCCCAGAACAATGATTTAAATGAAGAAAACAATGCCGGTTAAATCTTCTACTCATAAATAAAATGACAGTAACAGCTGTCAGAAAAGCATATATTTTTGTGCTTGTGCTTTCATATTTCTTACATTTCTAGGTGTTGTGCAAATTGGGAGTTTTTGATGTTATTCAAGAAAAATGCTGTACATTTTCCCCTAAAACTATTGCCAGAATATAATGGAATGTGACTGTTTTGTATTGCTTCAGACAAAAGGGCATTTGCCTTAATTCCAGGCATACATGTGCTCGCCAACTGTGTTCAAGAGCTGCTGCATCGTATAGTGTAGTGAATAGTTTCTTGCTTTTAATTCTCTAGATTTTTCACAAGCAATTTGTTGTGGTTATTCAGTCATCAAAATTTGAGTTATTTTGGTTAGTTTTGCTTATACAGTCACATCTTATGTTTCTGCTTTCTCACTGGAAAAAATATAACTCTTAGAATCAAGGTTCTAGTACACATATACATGTTCTAGAATTCAAAACAGATTGCAACATTCTTCATTACAGGCAGTCCCCAGGTTACGTACAAGATAGGGACTGTAGGTTTGTTCTTAAGTTGAATTTGTATGTAAGTCCGAACTGGCGTCCAGATTGAGCCGCGGTTGAAACTGACCAGCAGCGACTGAATCGGACACACCTGGGGCAGAGCAGCTGTGGTGCTGCTGGGTTGGTCCCGCAGCACCCCAGGGCAGCGCTACTGGACCTACCCGGCAGCACTCCAGCTGTTCTGCCCCCTGCTTCCCGGATTCAGCGCAGTTTTAGCAGCGGCTGAATCGGAGAAGCTGGGGGCAGAGCAGCTCCAATGGTCCGGCTGCCCGGAGCACTTCCGGGTTCCTGATGGTGCCGGACCATCAGGAGTGCCGGACCGTCAGTTGCCAGACCATCGGAGTTTTACTGTATTGCTAAAACATAGACTCTCCTAGGAAGAATTAGGCAATAGATATTTACATAAATACATTTCAGATGGGTAGTGAAGTGAAATGCTTCCTATGTATTTTTTTGTAAATCACTATCAGTTATCTCAGCTTTATTTTAAGGCTTTTCTAAGTTAATGGCTTGTATTGGATGGATTGTAAGCATTTATTTTATGAAAGAACAAGAAAAAAACAAAAAGAAAGTTTAATTAAATCAGTTGTTTTTATCTTTGAAGATACATTTAACTAAACAATCTACTAACAGTGTGCTTATCAACAAACCTTTAATTAAATCAACAGTGCAAGCAAAACAGGTAATAAACCAAACAGAACAAGGCTGGGTGGAAAGCTTCAAGCCACAGATGTGTATTTGAGAGAACAATGGCTACTGGTAGAACTGCTGTTCTGAGTACAGTTGGGAGGAGTTGCTACCGCCGCCCGCGTCCTCCGCGGCGAGAAAAGCCCCGTTCGAATGTAGGGATCCGACATAAGTCGGATCCACGTAACCTGGGGACTGCCTGTATTTGTTTTAAAATCACTATTTCCACAAATATTCCTGCTTGCCAATTCGTTCACCAGAATGTTCATAGAGAATAAGAATAAAGGAGGCATGGGTGTGAGCATGGGCAAAACTGATTCGTTCAGAAATTTGAACAAATCTGAGAGGAAAAGTATTTTGCACTATTTGTTCAGTTCTTATTACAACTCCAGAATATACTTTGTGAAACATATACAGTAAATTGATCACTTAAAAATCCCAGGAATATGTAATATTAAGATAGTAAAATTCTCTAAGCAAGGTGATATAAGAGGCTGGTCCCCTCGACAGTCAGGACGCCCCCAAAGTCGGGACAATGTCCCTTTTTCGCAGGGCAAATGCAGCCCTACGGGCCTGGTCCATAAGTACAGTTCCCTCTAATTAGGGTAAATACAGCCCCGCGGGCCTAGTCCTAAACAGTTCCCCCATCAGGGTAAATATGGCCCTGCAGGCCTAGTCCCAAAGTTCAACAGGCCTAGTCCCTTCAACCAGGGTAAATATGACCCTACAGGCTTAGTCTCAAACACAGTTCCCCTTTCCTCAGAGTTACTTTGGCCTAGAGGCCTAATCCACAGGTAAGGCTCCCCAAGTAGTCAGGGAGGAGGATACCAGGGGCTGGGGAGTAGGGGGACCCAGTCCCTTCTGCTCCACTGGGTACCAGCCTAGGGCCCTGTTGGCAGTGGAGGCCTTCACTTCTTGTTCAGTGGGGATTCCTGCCAAAGTGTGCTGAGCTCCTGGACGACAGTCCTCCACCCTGGGCCACTTCCTACCATCCATAGCGCTGCTCAGCTCTCCAGGCATTGTTCGGCGTGTCCAACCCCCGCAGATGGCCTCCCTGTTCGGGGCTGTCACTGGGGCTGCTGCTGCGGTGGCTGCTGCTGGGTGGCTGTGGCGGCTGGGGCTGCAGGGGCAACTCAGGCACTCCAGCCTGGGCTCCTTCCCTTCTGGTAGTCCACCCTGACTGGGCTGTTCTGCTGCCTCTTATACTGCTCCAGCACTTGGAGCATGCCCAGTCTGGGAAAAGTGAAGGGGCTTTGTCAGCTCACAGAGTTCTAGACCCCCCTCCCTTCAGTGTGGGGTATGCTCTCCCTGTCACAGTGGTTCAGAAAATGAGTAGTAAGATAGGAAGATTTTCACCTCTACAGTATCAGTTTGAATCCCATCCTGGGTGATAGTGACAAAAAGTCATTGGATGGAATGACTTGGTCTCTGTCTAGATTTAGTGGACGGGTGCCTCATCCCAAAATCACCATTGTTGAGGATGCTAGCTGGCAGCCTTCTTAACAATCTCTGTAGAGAGTCCAAGGATGGAATGAGCCTGGAACAATAATTATCCTCTCACTCAACTTCATCCCACCAGACCAGACCAGGTGCAAGGAGGGAAGGCTTGTTCTATTTTTCATACTGTACCTGTTCAATTAATAAACGGACTCCTTCATCCTTCAGGCAGCTTTCTTGCACACTACAGTCACTTATAAAAGTAATATATTCAAAGCAAAGCTATGTAATGGCAAAGGAAAATTGAGAGCCTTATTGCGTGGTCACTGAGTCCTAAATCCAAAAAAGCTCTTTAGAACATGCTTCACTTCTAGCCTGTGAGTAATCTCACTGAAGTCAATGGAATTAAATTGGAACTTGTGGGTAAATGCTTTGCTGGATTAGGGTTTACCTTCTCTGGAGTTTCTTTGTGCTTGTAGTGGTGCAAATGACATATGTGTCAGAACTGGAGTCTTTGGTTAGATTGTGTTTTAATTACACCTGTGAAAAGATGGAGTAATTCTGAAAATTATTCTAAATTTTAAATGTAGCTGAGATCAGAATCTGTCTTTCTACCTTTATAGTGAAAAAATTATACATTTTAATCAATGAAGGTTGATTAAAAATACATAACTGCACAGCTTGCTAGACTGCACCCATTTGCTCCTATCTCACCCTCACTTCTCAGGCTGAACTGCAGACTTCACACTTTGATTACATTATAAGAATGCCACCATAACAGATCTTTGTTTTTTTTAAATTGAATTTTTTTGAAGCTCTGCTGCTTTCAGAACCCATTATATAGTTACTGCCTTTATTTATGAAGGACAGTCCATCTTTTACTCCCAAAAAATGTTGAGGGCTTGATTCACCACCGTACTGCTACAATTTTATGCGAGTATAACTCCGTTAAATCAATGATATTGCACATGTGTAAAACTGGAGTAACACAATAGTGAGTCAGGCTATTGCCTTTTTCAAAGCGTTTTTATAGAAACTCCTGTGTTCTCCAGTGCAGCCTAATGCAAAGAAACATGCACCTGCATTTCTTGCTCCAAATGTCTATAAAGCTTATAGTTATTTCCCACTACTTGTTGTTTTTTACAGACAACCTTCAATCTTAACTCTAGAACATAAAATCAAGACTCTTCTAAAATGAAGATGGCTCCTTCCTCTCCTTCTCCTATTAAAAATGAGTCTTGCTCTGTAGACAGGTTTCCTAAACAATAGCTGTATCTCACAAGAGAGTGCTCATTCCATTTTTCCTTTCTGATAAATGCACATCAAGGAAAAACATTTGCCTTTATAGTTCCTTTTCAAGAGCAAACTTAACAGTTCAAGGAAAGTATTTACTGAATGCATTGAGAAGCACGTAGCTTTGCATTATTTATTATTAGATATGAATAGCTATAATACCAAGAATGGACATAAATTAGTGATGTTAGAAAATATCATAGCCCTCCCTGTAACCTGAACTACAGCGAATATGTAAGAGCTCATCACTTTCCTTGCCTTTCATTGGCATATCATGGAAGTAGATTTGAGAGAAAAGACTATGTAAAACACAGTATGGAAAAATCCAGTATGACTACATTAAAACCTTCTATTTGTTCTCCAATATATAATAAAAAATTGATAGCATTATCTGACAGATTAAGAGTAAAAGAAGAGCTCTGGGGAACATAAGAGACCTTAGGGTAACAGAGTTTAAGTTTGAGGAGTTTATAGAGATCGCCAGAGGGGATAAGGAGAGAGTTCAGAAGCAGGGAATTTATGGGAGGCAGAACTTGTAGGGAAGAGAGTGCTGAGCAGTGGGTGGAGGTGATACAAGGGGAAAACGTGTGGGGAGGAGACAACTTGGGGGAATACTTAGAGCAAGGAGGCTCTTGTAAATCTTGAGGAAAGGAGAGATTATGGACGAGTCATGGTGAGAGGATGAAAGAGCTAAGCAGTCATTGGAGGAACATCCAGCAAACCAGGTTCCTCCTATGAGCCCTTGGCACATTAGCAGGGAAAACCAGTGATTTTTTTAAATCATACATTCTACACCCTCAAATTCCAGACATCTTTTACTGCTTTAGATCTAGTCCATGACTAAAATCCAGACATGCCCTAAGGTTCCATTTACTTCCGTGTAGCTGCATCAGCTTACACCAAGGCTGAATTAAGTTGTTGCATGTTTGTGTCTGTCAAAGACTTCAGAATACTTTTTTTCTCTTTCTGGACTTCTTCTTGGTTGAAGGAAAAGGTTGTTTTGTAGCAAAATTATCAGAATGAAATCTTCTGTTTTCAGTAGGCTTGTTTCTTCCCTGATATACACCAGTATAAATAAGGAGTAATCCACTGAAACCTTGGGTATTACCCGAGTATAAACCCAGTATGAGGTCAGAATCAGGAGCATTGTGTCTTCAAAGAAATATCACAGGAAAGGTTGTGTTTATGTAAAATAATAGTGTAAAGTTTGGGGATATAGTTTGCATTAAATGTGTCATACAAAATATAGTTTTGTACCATACCATACAAGATAATTCATGCAAAATTTCACATGATGCCTGGGAAGAAAATGATGGCAGAAGATGAGGGGAAGGAAGGAAGGAAGGAAGGAAGGAAGGAAGGAAGGAAATGGAGAAAGGGAATAGCAAGAATGGAAAAAAATAGAGCAAGAAAAAAAGGGGGGAAATCAGTTGGACAAGTAGAGAAAGAAATATAGAAGAAAAAAATTAACCTAAAATAAAAAATAAGGAATAATTTACATAGTGAGATGACATTACAAATGGAAAAAAGGAAGCGTTATAAAATATAAAAAGCAACAGGAGACAACTGGCTGCTGTCAAACATATGGAGGCAGTAACATGCTGTCAAAATTTTAATAATTTTTAAAATAATTCTGCCATGTTTCCTCATGCATGAGACCTTTCCTGAGCTAAATACTTGAATATGCTTTGCAGCACCCCAAAAATAAAACAAAAATGACCATCAATTTCATACTTTTCCCTTCCTATTCTACTCTCCACCTCTTGCCACCATATACATTAGCTCAAGAGGACTTGGTTATTTGGAGGTGCAGGGTGAATGTGTGAAAAAAAAATATTTCTGAACCACAAATCCAAAATTTCTGTAACCTTCCCCATCAAAATAAAAATCATTAGTTCCCAAACCAAGACTAAGAAGAAGTTCCAATATAATATAAAAAGGAATCTGGGTGAAGCAGAGATGTAGAACCATAAGATAGTGGACAAATAAACAAGACCTGGAGATTTAATGGAAACTCGATAAATGAGGGTAGGGGAAATCTGATCATTGTCATAAATAGAAGAGCTTTGCTTTATTTGTTGTAATAATTAGAGAAGCCAACTTTGAAGTTATGCCCCTCACCATGAGTGCTATGTTCTTGAAATTCTGGTCTTTAGTTTCTCTGTGCCTTCTTTACTCATCTGAAAATGGAAATAATACCACTTCCCTTTTCTTTTGTCTATTAAATGTGTAAGCTCTTCAAGGCAAAAGCAGTCTCTTGCTATGTGTATGTACAGTGCCTAGCATAATGGGACCCCAATTTTTGTTGACTATTGTAATATGAATAATAATAACTTGTACATTTGGTGCAGACCCATCTTTAGTGCCAGAATAATATAATTATAAAATTGCACATTTAAATTGTATGTTCCAACCAAAAGCACTTTCTAAATTCTGAACAAATCCTCCTTTTATTATTAGTGGCCACATATTGGAGGAGGACAAAGTGAGTTGGCTTTGCTGTAAGTCTCATAGTTACCCTCCTGAGACAAGGTACGGTGACTCATAACCAGCGGGATACATGCTGTGCTCTGAAATGCTCTCACTCTGGTATGTGCTGCAGCATACGCACAAAGGGTTAAGAAACCATAGCTTGCAACAAGCAAAATATACCCTGAAAGTCTATGGATCACCAGCAGGCTTGTTAATAAGGTCTCCTCTTGGTGCTCAAAAGATCCAGGACAGCATCCCCCGTGGTGTATTGTCTGAGATGCACACCCTGAACACCCTTTCCTGACTAGTACATCCCTGCTACAAAAGTGCTACATCTCTTACATGCTGTCAACTCTGGAGCAGGTGGGTGGACAGCAAGCATTGCTTTCGATGAGCTGCGTGAAAAGCAATCATGCCACGTGCACTAATTTTCTTTCCTGATGCTTATTCCAAAAAAAATATCCATACATGAATCTGTGAATAATGCATTCATTATCCCCGCAATCAACATGACAGCTGTCATTTTGGCATAATGAAGATCTCTGTGAAGTTCAAAAACTTATAATAGACTCATAGGACTGTGGATACCCTTCCATGAACACCAATTTAGTTATACCCATTTTCATTAGGTCTGAATGGAGGTAGGTGAGTCAGATTCTGTTCTCAGTTTCAGAAGCACAAAATTTTCAAATTTGGGTGCCTAGAGTTAGGTTAGTTCCAACAGCACATCTGCAGATCCAGTCACTTATCTGATAGGCATATTTTGATTTGAGCATGTTACCGAAGCATGTCAAAACATACATTTTTTATTGCTTTTGTCCAGATACTTCTATCTGTCTAGTTTTAGCCTTGTATGTGTCATATAGATGGCATTGGTTTCCTTGGTTAAAGTTCTCCTGCTAATGGATAAAAATCAGCTATTTATACTGAACTTTTTAAGATCCATTAGCAGTCTTTGATGTAATTGATCTGTTGACCCACCCACCTGCACGAATTGTGACAGGCTTGGATGGAATTGTTCTTGGGTGGCTTGTTTTTTTCTTTTGTGAGACATGTAATGGGTAGTGTGAGGTAATTGCACTCCCTCATCCAGGGCTCCCTTGGGTAGGATTCTGCTCCTGCAGAATTCTATTCTGCCACCTCTGCAGTTCAAAGTTTATATGACACTTTGGGAGGCAGGAGGGTGTGTGAGTGATGTTTTGAGTTGCAGTACCATCTGTATACTGAAGTCAGTTGGAGTTAATGGAGTTGCATCCACCTATAACTATTTGAATAAGCACGTTGTGTACTGAATTGCTTATCCTGGATTTCATGTTTGTGCACATGAAAATATTTAATTGGGTTTGTGCATTAAGTGCCATTTCCATTTAGTTTGCTGACTGGGGTCCCCAGAAAGGCTGCAGAGGAAGATGAGTTTGCAGAGGAATAGAAGCTTTGGAGGCTGCTTCCATCACCCTCTAATTAGCCCAAACAAGCAGGCCCTTTGCCAGTGTAGATATACCCAAAGTCTGCAGGCAGACAGAGGAGAAGAAGAGGTGAGAGAAATGTCAGGGCTACCTACCATGACAGTGGCCCTTTTTGTTCTTGATTCAAAAATATATTCTGTGACTGTTTGAATCAAGGTCTTAAAATGAATGCTACTAATTCTCAATCTAATGTAGCTAACCTAGGGTATGTGTACACTACAATGTTAGTTCGAACTAACGGACGTTAGTTCGAACTAACATTCATAGCCGCTACACTAGCGCTCCGCTAGTTTGAATTTGAATCGAACTAGCGGAGCGCTTCGTTCAAACTAGGAAAACCTCATTTTACGAGGATTAAGCCTAGTTTGAACTTACTAGTTTGAATTAAGGGGTGTGTAGCCCCTTAATTCGAACTAGTGGGAGGCTAGCCCTCCCCAGGTTTCCCAGGTGGCCACTCTGGCCAACACCAGGGAAACTCTATGCCCCCC